AATGCAACAATGTCAAATATGCTTTAAATGTACAGACAGTATCAACAAAATATGTATGACCAGTGCTCAAAAAGGCTGTTTCAGTCCTTTGGTCCAAACTTGATGTGTTATCAGAGCAATTTGAAAGTTCAATATAGCGTCACTCATAGTTTACTTCTGAACTCATAGTTTTCTTGTGAAATTACATTTTAAATAACTTGGCGTGCAAATCTTTCACTTCTGGTGTTTCCTTGGTCCTCCATATCAAACACAGCAGTTTAAATGAAGGTATAAATGCTGTAAACTTGTGTGAAAACAAACTGGAGCTTGGAAATCTCATCAAGCATGTCCTGTGAATGAAGTGCTTCCCAGCCACAGAATGACCTTTTTATCCATGACGATGTAGTAGCTGCTGATCGCTCGTCTGGTGGTTCCTGATGCACGGATATAGGGTGATGCTCATCTAAGAACTCTTCAAGACTCCAGCATGACTAAGAAAAATGTTTGAAAACAAATTGCAATCAAATTCTATGATATATTTAAAAGAACATTTAAAGTAAATAAAACATTCAAGAAATCTAAACTCACCTTTTGAAAATCTTCATGATGATCCACAACTTGACTCTCCCAGCTGGTTGAGGTGACAGGATATGGAAAAGTAGAAAAAACACATACATCACTGTTGGATCTCCAAAAACAATTAGGTTAACCACTATGACTAGAACTGGAAAAACAGGCAGCTGTCTGTCCAGAATCCTGAATTTAACACAACACTTGGAGCAAAATTTAGAGGAGCTTAAAATCTTTTATATCATTTAGTGATGCTGACTTCCCCAAAATATTGGCCACAGTGTAAAAAATATTCATAAACTTCACAAACAACAGTTTTCTGTAAGCGTGTGCGTGCGCGTGCATGTTTCTTTACCAGATTCAACTTGTTAGGCCCTTTCAGGTCCAGTATTGACGCCACCTTTACTGGAGTCTAGCAGATGTTTCAGGTCCAAATATAATCTAAAATATTAGGATAAGCAGAAGAGGAAAAGTGCAAAGCAAAGAGCAAAACATTATTTAAGTAACAGTTCACCCACAATACAAAACTTATCACCTTCATGTCATTTGTTACTCTAATGCTCTAATACCCTCTCAGCTTATGTGAAACAAATACAGAACTTTATCAAACATACCTTCATTATTATCACCACATATGACCAAGAAGGTGTGCTTGGTCATTTCACCAACTCTGGAAATACACCATCCGTCTCTAATCAGCCACCGTCACAGGGTCTTGTGTTATTGTATAGAGAACTGTGGCTGTTAAAAAAACAACAAAAAATTAGTATCTAACACATATGCATAACCTTCAGATAAAAAGGAGAGATGAACATCACAAAGTATGCCTCACACTTTTTTAGATATCTTTTGATTCAGATGTTGATTATTGATAATAAATCTACAAATCAAACCTGTATCATCATTAGGCTGCTCAAATATTAATCAGTTGATTAATTTTACAGACAGGTGGCTGTTTACAACGCACTAAATTGTCTTTAACAAAAAGGAAATGTTGTGTACAGTACATGCTAAGTTTAGCCTATAGTTTTAAGCACAATATCATGCGGGAGAAGAAGCTTGACTAAGATGTTCCTGACTACATAAATAGCCTAACTTACTAACGTCAGAGATCCCGAGTTGAGAAAAGTCATTTTCGGGGGATACAGAGTTGATTTGCGGGAGGTAGCGGGTACCTGAAGAGCAATGGGATGAGTTGCGCGCGACGTACCTGAAGAGCTGGGAGGGATGCGGTGGAGAGGGGTGTGCAAAGTGTTTAATGACCGGGCGGGAGACGCGCGATTTCCGGGAGATTATCATTCATTTGCGGGCATCTACTTGGGCATCTGGGAGTCTCTGTGCATTTGCGGGATAACGTTAACGTTAGTCCCGCAACTTCCAGGAGACTTCTGTAACCTTAAATGTCTGAGAAAGTGCAAACGCGGTCATTTAAAGACATTAATGTTAACATTCCGACTTTAATGGTTGTCAACGCTTAATATAATTCAAGCGTACGTTATCACGCGAGTCTGAACTAACGATATATGGACGGCCACGAATGAACCAGTTTAAAAGGGCCGCGGTGTTTAAAATAACCAAATTAACGTACACGAATAACAAACAATCATATGTTTTAGTCAGGAAGCCTTTTACAAGTAAGCATATGTTCATTTACTCACCAGATATGTTTTAGAAACTCTCCAGAGCTTATGGAAACCGTCCTGTGTAACGTTAGCCGTTAGCATCCGGGCAGAGTAGGCTAGGCTGCTCAGGGGATTCCCTCGCTAGTTTGCTTCAAATTAAAGGAGAAGTGTCAATTTTATTTTACAGATGGGTAACAACGCACAAAATGGCATTAAGCGTGACAGAAATGTGTTGAACATGTACATTTGATGTTTTTATGCACTATGTATGCGTGAGCATATATAAAAACATTCTTGAAAAGAAGTGAATAGTAATGCAGTTAAGCTAGATACACAAACGACCATGAATGAACCGCAGAAGATTAAAATTGTCACTCCATTCTAAAGTTATTAACTTAACAATATGTTTACAACTGTATTTCCTTAAAGAAAGTCAGTAAAATACCAACATTTAGGTAGTTTGACTCACCAGTTGCTGTTCTAAACCTCAGATGGAAAATGGCGTCTGGAAAATTCTTCAGTGACTGGGGCTGCATGAATTCCCGGATGTTGGAAATGACACCACCAAGTGTGGAAAAGATAACTCCTTGATTTCGCACTGAATAAAATCAATTCTAACTCTTATTATATTCATTTATCAAAATCTAACTCTTTAACGTCAACACTTTACTCTGAAATGCTTCAACACCGAGAATTTAACTCAGATGAATTTGCTGTGTAGGACCTAAATACATCACAGATATGCTCACTGAATACAAACCTAACAGATCACTCAGATCATTAGGATCATATAAACTAGAAGTTCAAAGAGTTCAGTCAAAGCAGGGTGAATCAGCTTTCAGCCACTATGCCCCTCACTGCTGGAATCAGCTTCCAGAAATGATCAGATGTGCTCCAACATTAAGCACATTCAAATCAAAACTGAAAACACATCTGTTTAGCTGTGCCTTTACTGAATGAGCACTGTGCTGCGTCCGACAGATTGCACGATCATGTTTTTCTCTTCTTCTTCATTCTTTTATATCACATTTTACCTGTTTTTATGTTTTGTTTTGTTTTTACGCATTTTTATTATTTGTTTTTATTTTTATTTTACTTGTTTCTTTTATTATTGTTTATGTAAAGCACTTTGAATTGCCATTGTGTATGAAATGTGCTATGTAAATAAACTTGCCTTGCCTTGCCTAATTTTAAGCTTTGAAAAGTTATAATGTATTTCGTCATTTTTAAATAAGCGCATTTAATATATATTTACATATTTTATTGTTAGAAAAAATTTGAGGCAGTGCATTTTTTGATATTTTTTATTTTTTACATTTATTTGAGCTAACACACAAGTTTCAATATGAATTACATTAAAAGGCACCTATTTTACCTATTTGTCAAGATTTAAGATAAGTCTTTGTGTCTCCAAAATGTGCCTGTAAAGTTTCAGTTCAAAACACTCATCAGATTAATCATTATAACTTTCTGAATCTAGGATATTTGAGCTTGTAGTTTTCGATATTGTAGATGTTGCCTATGCCTTTAATGCAAATGAGCTGGTTCTTCCCACCCCCCTTTTCCACGTGCATATCAGAGCCACAGAGATCAAGCGGTACTCAAACTGATCACTCTGATGGGTGTAGACTTTACTTGCTGCGTTTCATGTCGATAAACAGTACAGTGACAGATAAGAATGAAGCAGATCTCCCTTACTACAGTAAGAACTTTCCTTATGGCTATTTGATGTATTGATGTGGAATTAATTGAAGCCTTTCTGCTACGATGAGTCACACACAATGTAGTTATAAAGTTTGTGCACACACACACACGTTTAGATTTGCACTATTTTTGCACAGTAAATATGACAAGACACATATTAATGCCTACTGCTGTATGGACATCCGTTATATTAATGTACAAAATAAACCCAATTTAATAAATAAATAATAAACCTAAACCCAAGTCCACAAACTGGGATTGAAGCATCTTGTTTTATAATTGTACTAATTGAATTACGGTGTTGAATTACATAGCAAATGTCTTTATTGCAAACCTGCACTATTTTAAAAACTTTTAAACCTGCAAAACTCATTCTTGAGGTGCGCACTACCTGCTTTGTGGATATGATTATACACGTTACAATGGAGTCATGTTAAGACACTGCTGTCAATCAATTTGGTGGGCGGGGAAAACAGCACTCCTACATCACATTGGGATGGGCCTCAAAACTACTGGGATTTGGATCCTTAACATCAGGGAATTCAAAAAGAGAGACTTATTGTGTTTTTATTACAACAATATGACTGTGGACACACTATACCTACACACAGCTTGTCCAAACAGCTTACAAAAGTTGGTTTTCATCATAGGTGCCCTTTAATATATTTTAGTTAATGGTTGTCAAAACAATTATCCATATTTAATAGACAATAGAACTAAATAGTATTGTAAATGACTTAATTGTCTAAAAAATGAGCATTAAGTATCTATTTTATTATATATGTTACACTGTTTTAAAGCATATGCTAGAGTGTGCTTCTTTTTCACACCAACATGAAATCTTGATCTGTCCAGACCAGAAAAACATTAGAGGAGCTTAATAAAAATGTTAATTTGACTATAAACAGTCAAACTTTAGTGTTGATCAGAACAGACACTTCTACAGTTCTTCCTTCGTGTGAAAAAGTGTTTGGTTTTGAGTTTAAAAAGTTTGCGGTGAATACTGTCTCCTCAAAGCCTTTTAATAGACCTGTCTGTTTTATATATATTTTGTCCTACAATTTTACCTTCTGTCTTCCTCCAATGCTGTTTTATCTGATCTCCACCTTTTATTTTCCCTTTCAGAGATTAAATGTGACACTGAGACACTAACAATCAAAAAAACGAGCCCTTTTCCTGCACTACCAGCTCTCCTCTTCCTGCTGTTTCCCAGAATGATCAACATCTTCCAGCCTGGTTGCTTTCACTGCCATTGTTTGACTGCCGCCTGTGTCCCAAACTGCACTTAACATCCTGCTGTAACTCCTGCTTCACCCTGTTCTCAAGTTTTTCACCCTCTCTACAAAATCTGTTTCCTCTGTCCCAACTGACACAGCGTTCTGGTGTTTTTGTAACTGTTCCTCGATCTCCGCAGGAGCCTGCTGAACCAACCTCGACCTTCTACCACGATGAACCAAGTCTCCCAACTTCTCGCTCACCCGTCCCTGCTGAACTCAGTTTCCCAGAATGCCATCTCCCCTCGGGCCATCAGCATGGCGTGGGAGGGAGCAGAGCGAACCAGCATGCGGGCCGGGGCACGAGCGCGCCTGTCGCTCCAGGAGTCGCCCCAAATCTACTTAAAGTAAACACAGATGACTGCTCGCCTTGGCAGAGAAGAACCAACATAACACCACCTTCAAATTCCCCTAAAGATAAAGACTTGCACACTACCGAAGTGTAACAGCAATGTTCTGGGTATTTTACACACACGCACATTACAAATGATAACGGTAGGGACTCAAGCCCAATGCATCATGGGATAATAAGGACTGTGAAATTTAATTAATGTCAAGCCTCTCAAAGAATTGTACACTATTACACAAAGTTATTGGCATTCGTTGATAACAATAGTTGGCAATTATTTTTCTGCTAAGGGAAATTAGGGCACGTGTCCAGCAAAGCTTATTTGCATAGCTGAAAATTCCAGCACTCTTCTAAAAACGCTCAACAAGAGCATTTTTTCAACTGTTGGAGCGTTTATAAAAGGCTAGGCACTTTGTGTAAAATGCACACTGAACACCTTGCTGAAAAACATAGCGCTTCCATTGATAACAACAGAAAGAAAATGCTGTGAGTGGGAAATAACGCTTAGGTGTACTAGCGCACTTACACATAGATACAGTTGAAGTCAAATTATTAGCCCTCCTGTGATTTTTTTTTTTCTTAAATTTTTCCTAAATGATGTTTAACAGTGCAAGGATTTTTTTTCCACAGTATTTCCTATAATATTTTTTGCTTATGGAGAAATTCTTATTTTTTTATTTAGGCTAGAATAAAAGCGTTTTTTAATTTATTTAAACCCTTTTAAGGTCAATATTATTAGCCCCTTAAGCAATATTTGGTTTCGATTGTCTACAGCAGCAGTTCCCAACAGGGGGGTCCTGGCCCACATGGGGGCCTCAGTGAGTTCTATGAGGGGTCACGTCATATTTTTAAAGTTTTTTAGCGGTGTACAATTAGAACAATCATGTTGCCTTAGTTTATTTTATCCCCTGGCTGAGCTTAAAGTATAAAAGTTTGTAATTCGTCCTCCACAAAATCAGTCTCACTGATTCACCTTCAGCAGCTAATACTAATGACCCAAGCATACTGGACCCAGGAGAGGAAGCTCAAAAGATTTAATGTTGCAGCACTAGCAATACTTCAAACACGAAATGCAGGAAACACCAAGATAGTTATCTGAAGTATGGTATTATTCCTTTCTCTCAAAGCAAAGAGTCCCTGACCACAGTGTATTTTCTGCACCAAAGTTCTTGCTAACCCATTCATGAGGCCGTCCAGATTATTAAGACATTTGCAGTCGACTCATCTCCAATTCCGCGACAAGCTCAGAGCATTTTTTGAGCGGAAGGCAAAAGAACTGACACATACCCAAAATGAGATGAGGGACATCACAGCTACTGACAAGAAACATTTTAAAAATTGGCAACTAATATATGACCAATTTAAAGGCCAAAGGCTTACGCTTTTCGGTTACAAATGGCTTACTGAAGTTTTGCTTTTATATTTTACATTAGGCTATAATTTGTGCATAGACATATCTAGATATAGTATTAAACATACTGTTTGTTTGAAAACAACATTTTTTGTCGTTCTTACTGCAAACTTATATGAGTGATAATATCATTAAATGTTGAGGGGGGCTTACAATATTTTCCGGAGGAAAAACAGGTCTCAGGCAAAAAAAGGTTGGGAACCACTGGTCTACAGAACAAATCATCGTTATACAGTGATTTTCCTAATTACCCTAACTTGCCTAATTAAACTGGTTAAGCTGAGTAAAAGTATCTTATTATATTAGAAATTCAAAATTATTAGAAAGTATGTTATTATTATAGTTATTAGAAATTAGTTATTAAAACTATTATACTTATGAACATCTTTCTGTTAAATCGAATTTGGGAATAATAATTCAAGAGGGATAATAATTCTGACTTTAACTGTATTTATATATGCATAGTAAAACCCAAAAAGTTAAGGTAACTCCAACCATTTGAGTAAAACCGATTGCAACCAAGCATCTAAGTTAAAAAAAAACTAATCCTAATAAGTACTGTGAACTTAATCCATTTTAGCACAAAGCAATTTTAGCACAGTAAATAATAAATGAAGAGAACTCAAACCAACTGAGTTCTGTAAAACCCAATAGGTTACTCAAACTGTTTGAGGAAACCGATTACGACGAACCATTTGAGTTCAAAAACGAATCTATAAGAGTACTGTGAACTTACTCCAAGTTGAAGTAATGAGGTATTTAATTAACTCATTACCTTCGACTTTAAGTTCAAAACTCTTTTCAAATGAGTAGAGATAACTTTCACTTGAGTTAACTACACTCATTTCATTTGATAAACTTGACTGTTGGGTTTTACAGTGTGGCTGTATCTATGGGCAGCATAAGTCAAGTCATAATTCATCTGCAATATTTGAATGGTCAAAGCCAGTCTGTGAATTTTGCAGAGCAAGGTGTATCTGCATTTGTTATGCTTAGAATGGTGAAAGGTTTGCAATTTTATAATGTTCCTTTAACAACATTGGTAGTGTAATTCTTAATATGTAAGTTATCTTAATATGTAATCAGTGAAATAGACCTACAGTAAGCATTTATTTTAATGTTCAGCCATAAAACCAGATAAAAAAAACACTTAAATTTGAGCCCCATGAAGGGAAGCAGCTTGACACAGTTGTGTACAACAATAGAAAATGCAAAAATGATTGATTTTAAACAAGGGGGATCTTAAAATCAGCTGTATCAAACAATATTGCAGTTCATCAAAGATACTCGGGCTGGCTATTCAAATACCATAGCAGTCATATGGTCAATTGGGGTGATAAGAGTGTGTCAGCAATTATTTTGGCCAGCACAATATTGACTATTGCATATAAAAACACAAACATTTTCACCAGTGAAAGGTTATCCAATCTCTTCAAGTATTCAAATCTCAACCGTACACTCTCAGAAATAAACGTAAAGGAGCTGTCACTGGAGCTCTCATTTGTACCTGAAGGGTTCATAATGGTACCTCATAGACGTTTTTTGCTATTTCTGCTGAGAATTTTGGTAAAACCTTGTGGATTTCTGCGGAATTATTATTATTTTTTTGTATCATAACTAAAAGCTTAATATATAAAATAAAAAAAACAATATCTTTTTAACTTTTATTTAATGTTTAAATGAAAATCCATTTAGATTCATATAATTTCTCTACTAAAAGATAGAAACTATTACTGTAAAAACTGCATTGTACATAAATCAGATGAACATTTTCATGTTAGTCAGTAATATTACTGTAATTAATTTAAAAACTGAATAAATCTAGATTTACACACATTTACTCAAGTAAATAAACCGAAATAATACTGGCCAAAAAATCTGCGGAATTCTGTGGGCCTACTCATAGGTACGTTTTAGGTACATTTGAGTACTAATATGCCCCTTTGAGGTACCAATGTGGATTCTTTAGGGTACAAATTTGTTTCTTTTAAAAAGGTACTGCCCCAGTGACAGCTCCTATTCCTTTATTTCTGAGAGGGTAGGCTGTGCAGGGAACATGTTGACCATTTCAAGATGCATTACTATGTCAGATGTGAGAGGAATGGTCAAATGTGGCATCTAAATTTAAATTTCTATGCAGTAACTGATATTTTCCCCCAATCTTTAGACTTGGCCTAATCTCACTAATAAATTTAACTTTTAATTTTTGACAGAAACAGTGCTTAAAATAGCTCATTTGTACGAATTCAAACAATTGAATTAGTACAAAAGATATTTAAATGGAAATGTGCCCCCCAAACCCCACCCTCAAAACCAATCGTCATTGTGGGAAGAGCAAGTCATGCTAAAATACATAAATGAGATTGTGTACATTTAGCTGAATTGGACACTAAATCAAAACATTAAGAATTGCCGCGAGATTGTGTAGCCTAAAACACACAATGCCTGTTCACACGCTTTAAAGGAAGTCAGGCATCAAAACACATAATGTACAGTAGAAAATATATATGTTTAGTATATTTTACGCAATAAGGTTTGAAAAACTGGAAGTATATTGTTTTAAGTTTGGTATTTATTTTTTTGTTTAAGAAGTCTGTAATAAAAAGAACCTTAACTGATTTTATAAAAGAGACTACCGGTCCAAATTTTGGAATAAAGATATTTGAGATGTCACTTTTGCTCAGCTAGACTTCATGTATTTCTTGAAAAAATACAATAAAAAAGTAATATTGTGAAATTTTATTGCAGTTTATTATTATTGATTCCAATCGTCTCCAATTTTTTTTGCGTGTCCACCAAAGCATTTTTGCGCAGCTGAAAATTTCAGCACTCTTCTAAAAATGCTCAGCTGAGAGTATTTATGCAACTGTTGTAGCTTTTATAAAAAGCTGAGCACTTGTGTAAAATGCACGCTCAATGTCTTGCTACCAACTGATGTTCATTTGTAGAAAAAAAACAAAAACAAATAATAACTTGACTACTAGGTGATTATTTGGTAAAGTGGCAGAAGGTAGATTTTTCCGATGAATCATCTGTTGAACTGCATCCCAATCATCACAAATACTGCAGAAGGCCTATTGGAACCCACATGGATCCAAAATTCTCAGATGAATCAGTCAAGTTTTGTGAAGGAAAAATCATGGTTTGGGGTTACATTCAGTGAGGGGCCGTGTGAGAGGTCTGCAGAGAGGATGGCAACATCAACAGCCTGAGGTAATAAGACGTTTGTGCTGCCCATTACATTACAAACCACAGGAGAGGACAAATTCTTCAGCAGAATAGCGCTCCTCATAATTCAGCCTCCACATCAAAGTTACTAAGAGCAAAGTAGGTCAAGGAGCGCCAAGATTGGCAGCTCAGTCTCCAGAAATGAACATTATTGAGCTAAGATAAAGAAGGAGGCATTGAAGATGAATCCAAAGAATGTTGAACTCTGGGAGTCCTTCAAGAACGCTTTCTTTACCATTCCAGATGACTTTATTAATAAGTTATGTGAGTCATTGCAGAGATGTATGGATGTTGTCCTCCAAGCTCATGGGAGTCATACACAATAATATTTTTTTTTCCACTGCACCATGACTTTATATTCTATACTGTACATAATTTCTTTTAAGGGACAGGACTTGTGTCTTAGCAAAGTCAGAAATTAATTTCTTAATTAAAAATCAAGGCATGATCATATTTCATTTTGCTAAAATAAGCGTAATCTAGAGGCCTTTGCCTTTCATATTACCCGCTTCTGATACCAAATGATCAACTAGAAGTCAAGTTATTACTTTTTGTTCCTAAAACTTTGACAGGCAACAAGACTTTTGTCAGGTAGTGTATAGTGTGACCGTGGCTTTAGACTTCAGAGAAAATTAGCATACTCAAAGTGAGCTATCATAGGCAATAATTGAGCAACAATTGATTAGTCAGTTTTAAATCCTTCTAAAACGATTATTCCAGACTTTTGACTGGTAGAACATTGTTAGTTTGTCATTTAGATAAAAACTCAAAGTATTTTAGCCTTTCATTCACATGGCAACAACATTTTGAAGGCCTAAAAACAAACTTTTAAAAACCATTCACAGTTGAAGTGAAAATGATTAGCCCTCCTGGCTTCTTCAAATATTTCCCAAATGATGTTTAGCAGAGCTAGGAATTTTTTTACAGTATTTCCTATATTATTTTTTCTTCTAGAGAAGGTCTTATTTGTTTTATATCGGCTAGAATGAAAGCAGTTT